TCATTTCTAAGCCCTAAGCCTTTTACAGAAAAAGGACTCCTCTTTCGATAAAGCGATTAAAGTGAACCATTCATCTAAAATTTATTAGATATTATTCTAACAGTTTTCCTCTTGTCTCAAGAGGATTCTCTCTTGTATCAATTAATTTTCCTCTTATATGAAGAGGAATATGTTGATTTGAATGACGGCTTTTTTGTTCAATCATGATCTACTTTCATGAACGAAAAAGTAACTATATACTCATGGGTCAAAATATTTGGAACGCTTTTTAAAAAAGGTATGTGTATTGCTGTAACATATAACGAAATAATTGACCCATATTTGGCCAAATACAATTTATAACCTATTGCAAGAAGTTGATTAATATATTCTTTCTTTTAACTATGTTTCATATAATAGTTATGATAAACGTATAAATAAAGTCCATAATAAAACTGATTGTAAATTTGTTTGTTATGATAATCTTATTTTATTCGTGTATATATATATATATATTACTTTTCGCTATACATTCTAATAATTGTCTTCAAATTACTACTAAACTAATATAACCAGTAAGAATAAATAATAATCCTCTTAAAGAGAGATTAAATAATCTGTGTATAAGAGGAAATTTATATTGAAATCAATAAGATTTGCATTATACATACGAGGGTTGTTCCAAAAGTAATGCACAGTTGGCTCTAACTCAAGAAATATTTATTGAAGAAGATACAAGTGATTACAGGCCTTCAATATAATCTCCTCCTTTATCAATGCACGCTTGCCAGCGGCGCGGAAGTGCTTGAATTCCGTTCAGCGTCCCGTTCTTATTGAGCATCCGAATCTGTCGGGTCACTTCTCTTCGGAGCACTTCCAGCGTCGGAAAACGCACCCCCCGAAGAGGTTCTTTCATCTTGGGAAAGAGATCGAAGTCAGGTGGGTTCAGATCAGGATTATAAGCTGAGTAGCAGAGCCGTTCCCAGCCATATTTTTCGAGAACTTCGATGACCGGTGCACCGATGTGCGGGCGCGCATTATCGTGCAAAATCAACATACCACTTTGCAACATTTCTGGACGCAGTTTACGGACTTTTGGGCACAAGACATTCTGAAGAAAATTTTTACTGTGATTCCGGTCTTCGTCGAGCAACGTTGCAATGATTGAAGCGTTTGTGTTGTCAGCTGTTACAGTAGACGGCCGCCCCGCGCGCGGATCGTCTTCGATGCTTGTTTGACCTTCACGAAACTTCATGTGCCACCTCGGTACTCTGCTACGATTCACAGTAAACCTTCCACACGCTTCTTTTAACGCGGCATGAATTTCGGGCACTTTTTTACCGCGCACTGTTTCGATGCGAATATACGCACGTTGCTCTGTTGCTGAAATCCGACCAGACGGACTGTTCTCGTTGTCTTTCCGAATTTTGGCATTTTCCCTTTAAACGAATCCCACTACCATATGATACCAACGTGCTCTTGAGACTTCAATCTACACACTAACGCTTCGATCACCTGTCTACGTTGCCTACAACGCCCGCTAGAGCGTGCTGTGCATTACTTTTGGGACAACCCTCGTATATAATCTCTCTAACTTTAGGATAATGTGTTATAATATTTCTTCTTAATCTTAGAGAAATCTTCTTGAAGCTGTATATAAGAATAAAATCCTCTAAAATTTAAATGATTCCGCTTGTTCTGAAATTACTTTTCTTTTGGATGTAATATGCTGCTGCACGCGCAAAACTTTCCGCGTCGGGACTAAAATAATATGCTGATAAAGTTAACGTGCATAAATTTGGATAAATAAATAATCAGATGCATGAATAATTAAGTTAATGCTGCTTATCTATAGGGGTGACGAATAATAAACATATGATGGCCGTTGCAAACAATGTCGCGTATCTACCTTGAATGACGATTAGAAAGAAACAATCCTTATCTCGCAGTACCAAATCGTGCATATCAGTCGTTACACGGACAGTTCGCTTGTATATGGTAATTATCATTGCACAACTTCCACCAAACGTTAAAACATCAAAACGAAATGTGTCGACGAAAATATACCGGGCACGCACGTATGAAAATGAAGGATGAGCAGTTTGGAAATTTTTGAAAAATCTTTTGTTTCCTATGATATCGATATCTCTCGCAACATGTTAGTAGCAACAAGGTGGCCAATAATAGCCAATCCGAAGGTCAAAGGAAAATATTAACTGAAGAACCTGCCGTTGCTCGCTGTCGTTAGTTATCATCAATAGCTTCAGAATTTTTCCGTGTAATTAAGTAGATAGCATGAATAGGTTTTATAACATCTATTTAATTCAATATTGAATATTGTACATAGAATTATAGGCTTCCTTATCTCATTACATAAGCCGTATTTTTAAACCTCGACCCCAAACCTCGTGATACTTATACGTATGACCTACATGAAACCATTTACAAATCGTTATTTTGCATTCTTTCTCTCCTTATAACGCTATGGATATTTATAACGTGCGAAAACTCCTGGCATCTTGCTAGAGAGCGAAAAAAATCGGGAGCAAACGAGCGAAAGAGCCACGCGCCGTAACCGCCGTGAAGCCAAGAGAATTGCTACCGATTATCTCGACGTTCCAAACAGGTTTCACAACAATCCATTTAAAAAGGAAACAAAACAGGATAGTTGCGATCGAAAACTCACTGACTCACTGGTCTGACATTCTTGTGCTTTTACGATCGAGAGTCGTAAATAAAAAAAGACTGCTCAACTCTTTTTCAGTTCTTTCTTGTGTCGTCTCTCTTTCTTTGTGTTCCTTTAACAATAGAAGATAATAGAAGATGTCTATTTTTAAGAAGAAGTATTTCCAACGCGAAATGTATACGATCCGGATGGACTGAATGATATGAAAGATATATATTCAGATAGAATTAAAAGTTGATATAGCTACATCATTTCCAAGATAGGATCATGAAGTGATGCGAAAAAATATAGTTATATATGTCGTATAAAATCGCCATTTAACCATTTAAACCATTTAAATTAAAAAAACCGATGAGATCAACTAAAACGAACGGGAAGTTAGCAGTAGTACAACTCTCCTCATTAATAATACTCTCCTATTATTAGCCTCTCTATTATTAGCTTATCGTACTAGTATCTATCTGTTTAAATATACTAGTCTATCTGCTAGTATTTCTATAGTATCTCTACTAGTATCTCTACTAGTAATAGAGAAATTAATAATGATTTAATAAAATTTATTTTGAATATTTAAAATGGCCAATTTGAGCCCGCACACGATGTAAATGTGATATTAATATTACAATAATTTATTTCTACAAAAACCTGTCTAGTATATAAAAAATATAAACGTTTTGGCTCTATATTTGACTCTCATCTGTAGTTAAAAATTGGTGATCCAACTTGTTTTCTTCCTCGATGACCCTCTAATATCGTTGTAATAAAACCATTCTTCCTACTTAGTAACGCACTGCATCTCCTAAAGCCATGAAGTCAACGTAGTTCAAAAAGAATTTTGATGAAATCAATGAATTTCTGATATCAATGAGTCCGAAGAATGACGGTTTAGAAGACACTCTTATCTTTATTATCAAGCCTTTCATACTTTTAATATTCTTTCTTAATTTTTATACATAACTAGTATACGTGAATATCATTTCACATTCATAGATAATGCTTCCTACGTGCGTACCATCCACATACGAATCCTTAAAGTTCTCGAACCAACGAAAATTCTTACAGATCTTTACTGCCACTTGTATCATTAACAATAGTGCGATGTGGATCCTTCCGCGGCTCAATTTTTAGCCATATCCCACCCTCAACAGTCAAAATAAAATTGTACTTGGCAAACTTCAGCGGAATCTGAGTTTTGTCAGAAGGCAGAAGGTCACACCGTGCCAGTAGGTGGAACAATAACAATTTCATCGCCAGCAGGGCGAATCGATAACCAATGCACATCCTGGGACCTAAACCAAACGGCAAAAAAGCCCCCGTTTTGTCGATATGTTTCTTCTCATCGCCAATGAACCGGTCAGGATTGAATTTTTCTGGTTCCTTGAAATACTTGATGTCATGATGGAGTGCATAAACCGGTATCCATAAGAGATCCCCTTTCTTCACTACGTAGGGTTTTGCCCCAGTTAACGCCGGCGGCAACTCGAAATCTCTCACGCATATTCTGTCATACACCATAGCGACAGGATATACTCTGAGAGCTTCTTTCAGTACAGCATCCAAATATTCCATGTTGTTGATTGTTACATACGAAGGTTGGCCGTTCGTGTCTTCCAGCAGCTGATCAATCTCATTCTGCAATCTTTTCTGTATGTTCTCATTTCGCGCGATCTCGTGCGTGACGAAAGACATTAACGACGAAACAGTTTCGTAGCCAGCAAAGAAGAAACTAAAAGCTAGGGCAGCCATTTCCTCGATTGTTATTTTCTTGCTATTGCCTTCTTCCTTGTCCCTGCATTCCATCATCAGTTGCAACATATCCGGCCGGGCTATGTCCTTCTGGATTCTGGTCCTGATGGTGGTCTCCACGATGTTCCTAAAGAATTTCATGATCTTCTCGTTGACGGTTTGTAGCTTGAATACCCTTACCAGCCATGTCGTCTTTGGTTGATTTATAGCGTTGTTCAATACGCTGAAAAACTCTGAAATATTTAAATTTCTTGCTGTCATGTAGAAAAGATTCTCTGGGTTTCGCATAGAGTCAACACTGATGCCGTAGGCGCAAGTGGCAATCACGTCGGTGCTGAAGCGTATGAAAATGTCTTTCATCTCTATTACCCTCTTCTCCGGTGGCAATTGTATCAGAAAATTGGTGAAACTAACAGCGTAGTCGGATATTAGGTTATACATGTATTTCATCTTACTAGACGTGAAGGCCGGAGATGCTATAGACCTCATCTGCCGCCACTTGTCGCCACGAAGAAACAAAAGGAGCATATTATTCTGCCCGTAGGTACGATGATCCGTGAACATGTCAAAATGTGTGATGGCAATGGACTTGATGAGCTCAGGGTCGCGCAACATTATCACTGGCGTGAGGAAGTCGTACATACCAATGTATTTGGTCTCGGGGTGCTCACTGTATACCGATTTTAAGAATCCGGGTATTGATTTCTGGCCGAAGATTATTTGTCCCATGTTGCCCACCAATGGCGAATGTCGCACATATGGTATCCCCTGATTCTTGAACTCGTTCGGGTTCTTGAAGAAGACGTAATAAATAGCTAAAACTCCGGCTAACGCGGATAAGACGATCGCATACAGCATATCGATCTGATGTGTTCTCACTGAACTAGGTACAGCACTGTTGTTTGATTAGCAGATATTGGCAAGTATAAAACTGTCGATCTGTACGAAAGCACATAGAATCTCCAATTTTTTAAACAACGGTTAAATCATTCAGTTAAATATTCTTTTATCGTAAGTCCGATTAAGTACGAGGAAGAGATGAAGAGTGTAATGCAAGTAACGTTGTTGACAATGAATTATCCACTGTTATTTTCCTCTTCGTCCTTTGTCATATATATCCTTCCTTATCATTGCTTATGAAGAAGAAAATTACAATGCATATTGTGCAACGAAACTGATATAGTGTACTTTCTACGTTGTTAACTTAAAAATCAATTGCACATGTTAATACGATACGCTGTGGTATTCATTTATGGAAAGTTTTCATTTGTACTGCGTTATCTGCCTTTTAACTTTTAGTTCAGTGAATTCTAAGAACCGATTGCGAAATACATTAGCCTAAAACACGAAAACGAAACACGAGGATGTGTCCATAAGAGACTCTGGTGGAAGAGACCAGTTTGGGGAAAAAGTTGGGAGTTCTGAGTTTTTTAATTCCACTGAGTTTATTGGTTTAACGCTGTTTTGGTGCTTGATCTTTAAAGACTTTTTGATATATGTGTAGTCAAATTATAGGCTGTTTGCATGCGCATCATTCTCATAATGATTTTCACAGCATTCTGAAAGAATTTCATCATCTTGTTGCGAAAGTGACTTTAAGTAGTGCAGCTGTGCCAACCACGACAGCATCGTGGAAACTCATAAACTTTTTCAATATACTTTTTCAATAAATGACGGTGCTGAACTGATCGATATCTCTTTACCGTATATGTAGAACAGATATCCGAAGTCACTTGCGTGGAGTCATCACTGACGTCAGTGGCGCAGATGACGATCACATCGTGGTGTAATGCGCGAAGAAATCGTTCGTTCATCAACCTCTGCTCCTCCGATAATTATGAATTTGACGAAATCGGTGGCATAGCCCGACGTCAATCTCAACATATTTTTTATTTTGTTGGACTTGAGGCCGGGCTCATAATAGTCCGCATCTCCCACTATTTGTTTTAGCGGAAAAAAAGGACAATTTTCGTTGGACAATAACTTTTCATCCTCCCGGATGAAGCTGCGATGATCCGGAAACATTGTCGAAGTGCCTGAGCGTAAGTGAGTTGTTAATGAGTTCATGGTCGCACAGTATTATTGCTGATGTAGTCATATTGTACATACCGACGTACTACCACTTCTCGTGGCGCAAGTGGCGTTTCACGGAGAATGAACAAGGTCTGGGATATAAACGAATCCTGGTCAAACTGGAGTAAGACGCGATGATTCGGGAACATGTTAAAGTGGTTGATCGCGATGGACTTGATGAGCTCGGGGTCACGTAACGTTATTACCTGCATGTGAAATTCGTACATAACGATATACTTGAGTTCAGGATACTCGTCAGGATACAGCATTTTCAAAATTTCGCTCAACGATTTTTATCGATGACTGCCTGTCCGATGTTACCCACTATTGGCAAAAGTCGCACATATGGTATGCCATGATTCTTGAACTCGTTCAGATTCTTGAAGAATAAGTAATAAAAGACTAAAGCCCCGATTATCGTGGAAAAGATAATCGTGTATATCATGTCGATCGAATCTATCCTCACTGAATTGGACACAGCACCTTGTACTGTTTGATTGGAAGATATTCGCAAGTATAAAGCTGTCGGTGCGATGTAGGATCTTTAATGTTTTAAATAACAAGTTAAATGTTCTTTTATCGTACGTATGATTAGGTATTAGCAAAGAAAGAAGTTCGGCGTTGCAGCAACTTCGTTGATAATGAAAACCAACTACTATTGCTCTGCACATACTTTGTCTATATAGTGTCATTATTTATGGAACAGAAAGTTTTATATCCATATTGCACAACGAAAGTATTATCGCGCATTTTCTATCCTGTTGTAACCCAGAACTATGTTGCATACGTTAATGTAAGACACATGAAGGTATCTATGTAAAGTTAACGTTTTTATTATCTCATTTGCCTTTTAACAAACATCGTATGTATACTAAGAAACAATTAGAGAATATTCTCGTATAAGAACGCAAAATCAAAACACGAAGTCAAACATGTCCGAAAAGTCTTGAGGAGTGAAGAAACTGGTTTGAGGAAAAATTTGATAATTCTGAATTTTCCATTTTCTACTTTTTATTTCTACTTCTTTGGAGGTACAAATGATTGTGCTGTAGCATAAAGTGCTTACCACGCAAAACATTCTTTGCGAATTGAAACCGATGACACGTTGGATATAACCTTATCGGTAATAGCATACACATAAACGAATGAAAATACTTACAGTCTGTAAAGTAAGAGCGTGTACGGGTTAATGTGTGTACAGGTTAATGTGTAGAAAAATCTATTTTTAATAATTTTTAAGTACATGGATTTATTGTACTCCATGAGAAGAAACATGCTATACCATTAATAATGAGTCCAGTCACTACCGGCATTGATAATTGTCTGGCATCTCCGAGGCATACACTTTCGAGGACTTTCCACTAAGTTGACTGCGTATTCGTTCGGTAAAGACCTCCAAATGAGACGAATTTGTCGTGTCAGCTGCTTCAAAGTGCACACTCTTTTTCCTCGAAGCTTGTGCTTGAGATATGCCCACACATTTTCAATGGGATTTGCATCTGGCGACTGCGATGGCCAATCAAGTGTGACGATGCCAGACTGCTCTTTTCACTCGATGCAAAGCTTGCTCCGGTGTTTTGGGTCGTTGTCTTCCTGTAAGATCCAGTTCTCGTTTTTTTTATGAAGCATCGTTCAGCAGTCGGCAACACTTCTCATAAATTTTAAGCATTTTCGGAGCATGTAATTGCATTTATGCCGTACACGCTCTTACTTTACAGACTGTATGTATTGTATGTATCGCGGCAATACAATTGCAGAGGTGTCGGACACAGGCACTGGATTAAATATTATTCCGGAAAATATCCGGAAAATATAATATATTCTACACGAGTTGATAAGTAAACATTATTCTCCTCTACAATCTAGTCTGTCCAATCTTAACAGGAATTTCATTAATGATCAACATTGGTACAACGGACATAATTCTGTGTGATGTAGCTTGTGGCTTTGACATTGGAACAATTTTCTGATATTAGTGAATTCGGAGAACGGCGATACAGAAGATATTCTTATATTTATTATCAAGCTTTTTATACTTTCAATATTCGTTATTAATTTTTAAACACAACCATATGTGTGAATATCATCTCGCATTTATTAATTATGTTTTCTATTATGTTATGTACTGTTCACATGTGAATCCTTAATTATTATAGTGCCGAATAATGATATATCGTTATTAGCAACACTTGCGAAAAGTGCCAACGACGATATATCGTTGCGCATGCGATGACGCCTTACTATTCGCATCACGAGAGAAATCTGTTTCAAAATAAATTTATAAAACATCATAAATGGTTGAATTTCTTTTCAGAAATCCTATGTGAGGTATCCCACGAATTAAAAAAATTGTTTATAAGTTTAACTTTCTGTTATATTCCGCGATGCTTCTGATGCTTGCTGCGCATCATGAGATTATCATTTAGTTTTGTGCCTTGATATTAGTAATTTTGTTATAAATAATTGAAGATGCAGTATTTATGCTTTATACTACATCAAACTTTGACCAAACGATGATTCTTCTTATTTGCAAATACTGTTTATAAAAAATTACTGATTTTCCCATTTTTCCTAATGATCTTGAATAAATATTAGTACGATTTTCAACAAATATTGAAATAATAACAAATATTGAAAGTTAGCAATAATTTATTCTCCCTTTATTTCGTAATATGTTTCTTTTGAATTTAATATCATTCTTACTTTTATGCGTATACTTATGTGTATATTTTTTCTCAAATCTTACTAAATTACATCAACTTGGTTCGGCATTCTTCGTTTACTAGGTGCGCAACTAAGTTTCCGGTTCTTTTGATCAATGAAAATGGAAAATTTCAAGAGAAATACAAAAAATGGTTTATTCAAAGTATCGTCCCTCGCTAGCTACACATTTTTGCCATCTCTCTGGCAATACATGAATACCGCGACGATAAAACGACGCGTCTTTGGACCGAAACCATTCATCCAACAATTTTGCACTTCTTCGAAATTGGCCAAGTGTTGCCCAGCCAAGCCATGCGCCATCGACCGGAACAAGTGATAATCGGAAGGGGTCAGGTCTGGCGAATACGGCGGGTGCGGTAGCAGATTCCATTTCAGCGTTTTGATGGTGTCCTGGACGATGGAAGTGCGATGGCACGGAGCGTTGTCGTGCTGCAATATCACTCGTTCGTGTCTCGTGTCCCATTCTGGCCGTTTTTCGAGTGCATGCTTCAAATTGATCAGTTGTTGTCGGTAGCGATGCCCATTGACAGTTTCGCCCGGTTTCAGCAGCTCATAATACACGATTCCTTTCTGGTCCCACCAAACGCAGAACATTGTCTTCTTTCCGAAGTGATTTGGCCGTGCCGTCGATGTTGATGCTTCGCCAGGTGAAAGCCACGATCTTTTGCGTTTGGGATTCTCGAAATATATCCACTTCTCATCGCTAGTAACAATTCGATGCAGGAAACTCTTTCTTTCATGTCGCAAAAGCAAAATTTCGGAAGTGGCTCTTCGATTTTCCATCTGTCTCTCAGTCAACTCATGCGGCACCCATTTTCCTTCCTTTTGAATTTTTCCCATGGCAAATGGTAAACGTTTGGAAATACCTTGGCGAGTCATGTTTAATGCCTCCGCAAGTTGATCTTGTATTTGCGTATCATCTTCATCCAATAACGCTTGCAGATCGGCGTCCTCCGGCTTGTTTTTGGTCTTCCGGAGCGCTCCTTGTCCTCAGTGTCGAAATCGCCACTTCTGAATTCACATTTAAACCAATTTTCACAGGTAGTTTTCGATGGTGCATGTTCGTCGTAGGCCTCCTCAAGCAAACGACGTGCTTCACCTGCACTTTTTTTCAAGTTAAAGCAGAAAAGCAAAGCTTCCCGCAAATGCTTTTTTATTTGACACAAAACTCGACATCTTCGTTGTTAGAAAAAATATTTTTGCGTTGCGATATGTGTTCGTATTACGACTGGTTATTGTTAACAGATGTCCAAACTAAAAATATTCTATTTGTAAAGTGATTTTTCCCATAG